CACTGAACAGCAGAACACTTTAAAAAATGGATATTGTTTTGGATGAGAAATAACACCAAAATACAGGCTCTGATAGTAGAGATAATAAAGCTAACAGCTGAATAGAATGGAGATACTAAATGCACATCTAGACTCTATTATCTTTCCACAGCATGCTTCCCTTCTATATATCCTGCAGCCTCCATTTATACTGTTTGGTAAAACACTTAAAACCACACTCAGTCAGCTATAGAAAATGCTCAGAGATTGTTTTAAATAAATAAGCATTCTGCAGAACTTAACTTTAATGGTGCAAGAAGCATTTTGTCAGAGTGAAATACCAACATGAGGATTGTCTATCTTTGATAAAAAATTTAACCAGTCAGTTGGTTAGTGAGTGTTCCACCTCATGAAAATGTTAAATATCCCTCTTTTGAAAAAAATGAAGATGACATTACAAAATATTGTTCTTCATTAGTTAAGTGTAAGCCATCTTTATGCATTGTCTGAGCACACATTATTTCTCCTATAAACAAAACAGCCTCAATTCTTGGAAAGGTACATGCACACCTTGCCTAAACCTCCACTGTTAAGGGGTTGTTAAAAATTTTGCTTGTAACTCCTCTGTAGGTCACTATTTTGTTTTACCTCTGTATAATGCTTCTGGGGTTCTCCTTGGTCAATATATTGCAGCACTCCAGTGAATTGAACCTGAGCAGAAAGTTGCACCAAGGTTAGAAAACACCTCAAAGAAAAGTGGAGTCTGTGACTGGGCATTCCTGATTGAAACATATGGCACTTGCTTTTGCCTTCTTCGGTATTTTAAATTGTCACATTACCATGAATCTAGGAGGTAGGTGAGAGGAGGCCAGTATTAAACAGCTCATCCTCTGTTGCACATAACCCAACAATGCTCCATGTGAGTTTACACTGGCTGGCAGAGACTGCTTTGACTCTGGCAAGAGCTGAGTGTGAGGCATTCTCTAGTGACTACGCTGAATGGCACAAGTGAAAATTAGAGTTCCTGTGGAGGTCGTGACTACCACATTGCACATTGAATGCATCCACTAACACTTTATTGGATGTGGGGGCAGGCTGTGTTTAAAAATTGTTATGCTCATAAGTAAGCCTCAAATTGGATATTAAGCATACAGTTAAGATTGCCTTACACTTTTTTGTTGTAAGACTTGGTCTCTGCTAATTACAGTTTTGTGAGTCTTAAGCTGTTTGGGCTTGAATTCCCTCATTTATGTGTTTGCTGCAATTGGCTGTTACCTTTTTGGGTTTTAGCTCATTTAATACAGATGTTTCCAAAACAAGTGTGCCAAAACACATTTTCCCCCAATCTGAAAATAATAAGGAAAAAAAAAGAAGAAAAATCCCTTTTATTCCATTTTCTTTTAGAAGTTTTAATACTTTTGCAGATGAAGGTGTTACTACAGTCACTACATAGGTAACAAGAAGGCTTTTTTGGTTATTGAGGTTGCATAATTACATTAAAATTATAATCCTTTGGAAATGAGAAATCAGAAGTTCACATACATTCAAAGGCTACCAAAGATGTGACTTTCACTAAGGATGGTCCATTCCTTTGCCCTTTTACATATTAAGCAAATGGCAACTGCTCCGTGAGCCACTGAGCAGACCCTTGGGTATCTCCCTTCAGTGCTGGGCTGAAAGGACATTGCCTGCTGATCCTCCCCACAACAGGCAAAACAGAAAGGCCTTCTCTGAGACCCCCAGCACTCCCGCAGTGGGGTGGCAAAGTGGCAAAGAACTTAAGGAGAGCCAGACTTTTCTTCTGGTGGTGCTTTTTGTAATGGGAATAGAATTCCAGGAGCAGAGACAGGAACAGATTCTCAGCATCTCTCTGCAGAGAGATGCAAATACTACCAGCAAAACATGGGATTTTTTCTGGGTTTTTTGTTGTTTTTTGTTGGGTTTTTTTGTAAGAGCAAGCTCTTGTATCAGCATCCCTTCTAACAAAGCCATAGAGGACTGTGCTGTGGCTCTTCAAGGCTCCAGCCAGCCAATGAGTCATGTTTTAAGGAGGGCTACATTTTTTTTAAACGTTTCGCACTAAATTCTAAGGCAATAAGTCTAATTACACTTTATGCTTTAGCACACTTAGAAGAACAGCATGATTTGGAAATGGTTCTTTTCAGAATATGGCTTTGTAGAGCACATTTGAAAGTGACTGCTTTCCTGAATGCAAATGTCTGAATTGCTCTAATTATCTAACTGGGGAAAAAAAGGCTTTTTTTAGACTGCCAATATCTGAAGAAAATATGAAAGGACATATATTCCTTTTTAGTATGATTTCTATTCTAATTCTAAATACAAATAACCAGTGAGATTGCCAGTACTTTCATTTTATTATGTAGTAATTAGATGTCTTTTTTTTTTTAGATGTCTCTTTTAAAAAATCACAATTTTAATTTTCAGCTTGTAAATCCTAATTGTGTTAATTGTCACACTGAAGTTTGGAGCCCCTAAAAGTAGAAGTAATGTGTTCAGGATTTCCCATTACCAAACTTGTCTTTAGTCTGACAGGTAAATAACATCCCTGCAGTAAGTACAACACCTGTTTGCATAAAAAGTAGTAATAGAAAGTGTATTTTTAGTTTTCTTTTAATGTAATTTTACAGCAGGGAACTGAAAAAAGAAGCATCATGGCTGCACATGATCTCCTTTAGACTCTGATGCAGAGGCTAAAATAGCTTCTACCCTCACAGGTGGGAGCATCATCAGGACTGCTTCTAGAGACTACTGCTTGGTTTTCTGGGGTGGGTATGGGTCAGGAAATCCACTGCAACTCTTATTTAAAACTCTGAAGCAAACATCAGCTGCAGCCCTCAGTTATCTCTCTGAGCCTTCTGTTGACAATATCAGGCAGAAAAAATGGTCTGCATGTCTTTTCTAACTGCAGGGGAAGATGGCCTGTAGGTATCAAGAAATTGGTCTCGATGCTTATCCTGTGAGTACCCACAAAAAGAAGGAGGCACCTATTCTCCGCATTTGCACTCATGAGGAAGCCGTGGTCCCTCAGACAGTTCCCCAGGTTGCTGCAGTGGGAATCTCAGGTACAGATGGGTCTGAACAGCCCCTAAAGGAGCTGCCAATCCTGCTCCTACATCCTTACCTTCCAGCTGCCTCTCTTCCTACTATCACACTCTTTGCTGTCACCTGCACAGCTGAGCTCCCATTTAAATTGCCAGTCATCAGCTGGGGACCAGGTCTCTTCAGGTCCCCAGTTAAATCCTCTTCTGCTCCTGTTCCCTCATTATTTCGCAGCTAACAGGACAGAAGGCAGAACAGTGGGAGGTTCTCCCTGCAGCTCAGCATAGCTCTGGGATATGGTACATGTGCTGGGATCTGTTACAGGGGTGCCTTAGTGTGTAAGAGGCTTTCCCATCCAGCAGTTAGTTTTGATAATGGAAATTCATTTCCACTTCTCCATATAAAGACTGAAGTAAATCAGGTTTTGTACTTGCCTTTCCTCCCCCATTCACTGCTTTGCTTTGGATGGGATGAGGAGGATGAACTAATTTGTACAAGGCAAGGATAAGGGGAAGACCAGATCTCTGGACCACCCTGTGCAGGCAAACTGACATCACAGTGGCACTGGGAACATGGGGGAATTCTGGTAAGTCCCACAGCAGCAATGGCAGGAGCAGTACATGGGCATGGCAGACACAGCCCCAGGCCTCCTTGTCCAACAGCAGCAGGGCTGAGCAGGTGTTCCAGCAGGCACCTGCACAACCCTGCACTGACTAGCACCAGGGTTATAGACAGATCCAGAGCAAAGCCAGGCTCAGATCCAACCTGGAGACAAGCCTAGCAACAAGACTTACACTGACACAGACCCCTCTGCACCTCAGGGATACACTGATGGTGCTCATTCAGGGCAGCCCTGCAGTGTGGCTGGATTATCCCAAGTTCTCTGCAGCCTCCTCTGGGTTCAGCCACAATCCCCAGCACCCACCTTCCAGGTTCCCTGCAGGGAGATTGCAGAGGCACACTGTAAGAGCTGCTTGCCTCATTTATAAGGTCAAGTTTAGTCCCAGGGCTGGATATAAAGACAAAGAATTTAGGAGAGGGCTAAAAGCATGAAATCCTTCATATGCCTCAGTATAATTACCTTCTTTTTAGTAACATTAAGAGGTCCAGCTCTTCAAAATAAAGAATAGAGGCCATAAGTGGATCTACAAGTACACTAATTTCACAATAAATCAGTGATCAAGTCATTAAAAGTATCCTCTGGTTTTCACAAAGTAAAGATTTAGGGCTCAGAAGTGATAATATAAAAACACCTGAAGAAATAGTTATCCATGGTTCAGTGAAAAAACTTTTTATGCTTGTGCAAGTCAACAAAGCATTGTCCCTGGTACAAATCATTATATAACTGTTCATTTTTTTCAATATATCTGCTGCTCTAAGTTCCTAAAAACATATCTGAAAACTGAAAATGGGAAAGAGAATTTTTTTTCCCTGACTCACTCTCTTGTGTCTTCAATAGCACTGCTGAAGATGTGACTTTTTTCTAGAATAGTTTAATGTAGTTATGATATAACCTTTGGGTCCTCATCATCTCTAAGGATGTGTACTACTTGAGTATAACATAAAATCTCTCTACCAGTATGTGCTTCAGACATTAATAAGACACAACATCAGCTGATGTTGGAAAGTGGAGTTTTCTTAACCTCATATTATACTATGAAGAAACCTGGAGACAAGAAAATTTTGATATAAAAGCTTCCAGAGGGACTTGAGTTTCAAGTTAACACTGACATTTCTGTGGAAATACAAACATAGGAGAAGGGTACTTTTCCTAACATGGACTTTTCTAGTGCTTTTCTCTCCATTTATGCTTTTCTTTCCATTTCTCCCCAGCAAACTGTAAATTGCTTAACCCAAAAACTTTTCTTTTAGGACAGCAAGGAAGATAGTATATTAAATTCACACAGATACTACTGTGACTTTATCAACTTATACTCAGAATAAATTATTACAAAAATACCTAGTGACTTGGTAGGAATCTTTATTTTTCTACTGGTACCCTTAACAGTTAAATTATAATCCCAGTATGCAACTGGTACAAGTGACAGAAACTAACATTGGTGGTGTGGATAGGAAGAAGAAATCAAGAATCATTCCTTCTAGCTTGAGTAAGAATAATACGTAATGACAGAAATGTCATTGTGGCAGATGAGACCTTACTGAAGTAGTTCAAGAGATTATTACCCTGACTCTGTATTTGACTTTAGCTTGATTTATCTACTCAGTACCCATTAGCTGAACAGAATATGCAGTATTGCAGATATCGAGTATCAGCTTAGACTGCTCATAAAACTGTGTCTGTACTAGAGCGTCCAAGCTAGAACTGATCATGTCTTCATTACTCTCATTTCCTGCATTATTTAAGTGAGAAATTGTGTGGGTATGCCTCCTCATATTTTCATTTGCTCCACAGATTTCCCCTGCATGTTGACTTCTCTGATAACTGAACATTGTGGAAACAGAACATGTTATAGATTTATTCACTGTTTTTGCATGCAGCAAATTTCTGAAGGATTGGTAAAATACTTTTTTAAAGTTTATTAAACCTTGTAATTAAAAAAAAAATCTCCTCAAATTTCTCTTTTTAATCAGTTAGCATTTCACTGCAGGACAAATGTCCATGGCAACACTTCACACATTTTAAAATGCAGCATAACCCACAAAGATATGTGAAAGGATTTTGTACACATGCATTGAGTTCAACTAACAACTAAAATGTCCAGATTTGGCTCACTGTTATCCAATAAAATAACACTATGATTTTTATTGCCCTTCTGTCAATTGCAACCACATAGAGATGGTGGATAGAGATGGTCCTTCAGAAGGAGTCATCTCTCAGGGAGCAAATGGCCTTATTTGATGGGAGAGTGCAGGAATAAACAGGGGCCTTAGAGAGACCTTTCACTGGGAGAGGTTCTGCTTTCACTGGTGACATCAGTGTGAGTAGGTTGTGGCTTCATAGGCAGAGTGCTACTCATAAGCAGTGTAGGGACAGGTTTGAGACCAGGTGCACAGATTTGTATCCGTTTTCAGTCCAACAGCTAGAATGATCATCAAGAGAACAACCATTAATACAGTAAGTGAAATAACATCGCTATTCCATGAACTCACACTGGTTTGCTCACTTGAAATTAGCTATTTTTGAATTGTGCATAGGCTGCCTTGTAGCTGTACCAGTATGTTCCTTTGGCTGATAACAACTTTGGGAAAAACATTAAAGGACAATAAAGGGAATATATTAAAGTTTTCGCCCTAAAAATAATAGTTCTATTAAAAGAAGATTTAAATTAACACTTCCAAACATAAAATAGAATTAATTCAGTTCACAAATAACTTCACAAACAGATGAACTCCAAATATAGACAGAGAACAGCTGAATATTTCAGAAATAATGACATATTTGTTTAAGAAAAAGCACTGTTGTCATAAACACATCTTACAGCATACAGATCAGCAGAACACCATCAATACACAGCTGCACACAAGCTTGTGTAAACAAAAAACCACTGCTGCTGGGATTACAGCATCTAGAAAAATATAACAGAGATGAACTCTCCTTTTTTGAGAGGAATGGAGGAGAAACTCCCAACACATTTCTGAAAGTGAATGGATTTTTTACTAATATTTGAACAATTATTATCTGATATGGTTTCATACACAAAGCTCCTTAATATCCTTTAAAGGAGGGACTCATTCTCTTGAAAAGGTGATTTACTCTTGAACCCTATAAAATACTGCCCATGTCTGATGAACCATCAGGTCTTCTTCCTGTGGGGTCTTTATGTCTCTGGTGGGATCAAACAGCTGTAACTGCATCCTTGGAGCAATCTTCAACACCACAAGAGGCAGATACTCCATGCAGATCCCTGTGGATAGAAGGTACCATGAACAGCTGCCTTTCAGTTCTCCATGTGCTGATTTCCTAATCTTGCTCATTTAAATGAATGAAGATAATACTGAAGAATGAGGAGAATGTAAAAAAAGTTGTAGCAAATATATTGCCTTAGAGGAAAAAGACAAAATCAGTCTAATCACTAAATTACCAAAATATCACAGCAAATAGAAATTAATTTATGGCAATATTAATGAAGAAGGCAGAAACACCTGAAGGATTTAGTTAGAAAATCCACATCAAAATCTAATGAAATTCTTTATTGTTGAACTAGGCAACTTTAGGTCTTAAAACTATCATTGATACCAGCATGTCCTTATTATGGCCAGGAAAAGAAATGTGCTCAGTCATTAACTGACTCAGATGTTCTATTTACATGAAAATTGAGATGTACTAAACCGTGGTTTTTTCATCTCAAGCAAATATGTTGTTCACTGACACATCTTAGAAAAATTAATTAAGCCAAGAGATCCGAGTGTTAATCTAGAAACAAAGTCTTCAAATTTTGAATGAAGAACCAAATTACCTAAAGAAGTGATGCTGCTGCACCTCCATCACCCCACGTCCACCACCTGCAAGTCTGGGATTAAAATTTAACTCTTAAAGGATATCCATGCAACTCATTCCTAGTAGAATTCCTGTGACAAAAAAAAAAAAAAAACAAAAACAACCAAACCTGGGAAGTGTTTCATATTAGCAGTGAAGCTGTGCAAAATCTTTGATGTTTGCAGTTTCAAGAGACAGTAATAAAACTAGAAAAACTGCATAGAGCCACTTCTTTTGATGGATTTTGTTGAAGAAAGAGGAAATTAGCAATGGAAAGAAGTACATAAAAACTGCTGTCAGATAACTGATACTCTTTGTGGACTTGAAACGCCTGGGCACTTTATCTGCCTACCTAAAACCAAAATCTTGATCTAAAGCACATTCACATTTCAGTCAAAATATCTTTGACCCAAGCCTACTCACTTTAATATTATAAAACCCTGGATGCATTGAATATCCTGGGTGTCTCTCACAGACAGGACTAAGGGACCCATGGGTGCTTTTTGTGCTGTAGCTACTAATGCAGTTTAAAGCATAAAAAAATATTCGATACAAGGTTTGTGTGGAATAATCACTGCTTGCTTTTATTTACCACTGATATTTCAAAATAAAATCATTTCCACTTCACCCAAAATGGATCTTAACCAGTCTTGTCTCTGCCATGCTTAAGTCTCATCTAGAATAGGCGAAACCCAGAAGTTGTAATCATTGTGAATAGGAGGTGAAATGTATAAGTAACATGTCAACATTATGTTAGTGCATAGTGACATGAAGCCCTACATAGAAGACCACCACACGCCACCTAATTAAAAAGCTTAATCAAGCAAGACTAACAATTGAAGATGATTGATATAGTCCATGACTGAATGTACTCTACCAACTCACATTCTTTAGTTTTAAAACGTTTAATTCCCTGTTAAAAACTGACATTCAAGTACACTACAATTTTATTTAATTTTGGTTATATAAGCTATAGAAGATGAGCAGATTCAGTGGAAAGAAAAAAAATTGCATTCAGTCATTCAGATTTCTTCCATTAAAACTTGGTTTCAAAACATATTTAGCTAGAATTTGTCCAGGTAAATAATTGTATTTAGCTCTGAAGATAAATATGTGCATGTGTTGTATTCGGGTGGCAAGGTTTTGGTGGGGGTCTAACAGTAGTGGCTTCTGTGAGAAGCTGCCAGAAGCTTCCCCCACCTCCAAAAGAGCCAATGTCAGATGACATCAAGATGGACCCACTGCTGGCCAAGGGTGAGCCCAGCAGTGATGCTGCTGGCACCTCTGCAATAACATGTTTGAGGGTAAAAAAGTTGTTTTACAAGAGCAAATGCTGACAGGGAAGAGAGGAGTGAGAGTATGCGAGAGAAACAGCCTGCAGATACCAAAGTCAGTGAGAAAGGAAGGGAAGGAAGGCAAGAAGGTGTTCCAGGCATGGAAGGGACCAACACTGGAGCAATTCAGGAAAACCTGGAACCCATGGGAAGAACTCATGTTGGAAAAGTTCATAGAGGACTACCTCCCATGGGAAGGGCCACATACTAGAGCAGGGAAAGAGTGTGAGGAGTCCTCCCCATGAGAAGGAAGAAGCAGCAGAGACACTATGGGATGAACTGACTGCAGCCCCTGTTTTCTGTTCCTCTGCACTACTTTGGGGGAAGAACTGAGAGAAAATTGGGAATGAAGTTGAGCCCAGGTAGAAGGGAAGAGTCAGGGGGAAGATTTTAAGATTTGGTTTTATTTATCATTATCCTACACTGATTTGATTGCATTATTTGAAATCAAAGAGTTTCATCAAGTCAGTTTTGCTCTTGCTGGTAACTGGTGAGTGATCTCTCCCCATCCCTATCTTGATCCACAAGCCTTTTTTTCTCCAGTGTCCAGCTCAGGAGGGGAAATAGAGTGGCTTTGATGAGCACATGGCATCCAGTCAGGGTCAGCCCACCATACTGCATTTGACATTGTTTTTCTTTTCATCAGTACAAGGCTGCTCTTTTAGAAAGCATAGACTTCTTCTGCATAAAATTTCTGACTTCCCAGAGGAAAATATATGCATGGGTGAGGAGAAATTTAGGTTTAGAGCACCATATAATCAAGTAAAGGGGAAAGAGCTCAGTGAAGTCTACTAAATAGTGATAACAGCTCTTTCTTCCTGTCATTTCTAAGATTTGGTAAAGCACATGCAAATTAAAGAGAGAAATGTGGTAAAATAAAATTAACAGGAAATCAGGGGAGAAATGGAGTGGGGGTGTTACCTTTCATTTGATTTTCCACATGCAGAACTCATGTAAAAAGGGATATAAGGTGTCTTCAGTTTGAGTCTTCCAATGGCAATGTATCAGGTTGAAAAAGAGAGAGATCTCTTCTTCCCTATGTGGTACTCATCCAACAAAATAATGGAGAAAATTATTACAGCAGTTACACTTTATGACAGGCAGAATGTCTGTGTATCTGCAGTTTCCGTCTTGAGTAAGTTCAATTGGTATATGAATGAAAATGTCCTGTCATCAGCTACATGGATATTCACTGCTGATGTTGAAGAAGCTCCTTAACTTCGCTGCTTCTTGCTTGTGCTTCAAGCTCTGAGCACCAGTATCTATACATTTGAGATATGTCCTTTGAATGTCCTTTATTTTGAATAGTGAAAATCCTCCTTGTATTCTTCTCTCATGCCACCTCCAACACAGGCAGCACTTTTACTTGACTCCACATTGAGGTCTCTCTTCTTGAGCATAATTTAAGAATGTCTTCTTTCACTATTAAGTCTATTCACAGGGATCTTCCATTATTAGGTGGATGCCATCTTCTTGTAGACCCTCATCTTCACCTAATGAAGTGCCGTGATCAAATAGGAAAGCTTTCTAAAGACATCAGTTAGTTCACCCCTGCAGCAGGAAAGCCTGGTCATAATAAAATGAATGTCAATTTCAAATTAATTTCAAAAAAATTTAACATTGCCACTGTAGTCCTTCTAGTGGTGTGACTGCATTGTGAAATCCATGTCAACTGAATGCTCATGGAAGATTGCGAAATTACAAACTCACAGACTGGACTTGGGTATTTATCCCCAGAATGGACAAAGTATATTGCTGATAATCAATGTACATTTTCATCCTTTTACTACAGGCTTAGACAAGCCATTCAAGGCAAGAAAGTAACATTCCATTTATAATATATTGAGCCTTTTGTCTGTGTAGTAGGATGAAGTGTGGTCACTCAAAAGCAGATACAGAGCTGTAGTGATGTTCTCCCATTCTTGACATTAACTGAGGTTAATACAGCAGCTGGGAGGTGAAAAAATATGAATCGCAGTTTTCATTTGAACAATCAGATTTGAAAGGCTGTTTTCACCGTCCTGTAGTGAATGATATTGTGTGAGATGGAAAATCTAAAAAAATGGAATGAAACACTTAGCTTGGCTAAAAAGCTCTTTCTCAATATCACAGTGAAGTGGCATTAGCCTAGTATCAAGTGATAGAAATTCTTTCATCTTGCTGATTGCAAAGATTTTTAATTATTTTTAAAAATTGTCTTGATAAAAAAAAACATGGTCTGGATATCTGTTAGGGATCTAACCTAAAACCACAATCATTCATTACTAGCCTGCTAAATGATCACGTCAAAAAGAAAAAAACAATCCATAATAAAAATTAGCATGAAATTTATATTGAAATAAACACATCAAAACACAGAATTCATATTTTTGCTTGGCTAAATTTCTTTGTGTTTTTCTGCTTTAAAACATTTGCTGAGCCAAATATAGGATTTACATGTTTCATTATTGTCATGGTTTGACACTGGCACAATGCCAGTGCCCCCATGAAAATGTGATCCCTCCCTTGAATGCTGTGAAGTGGAATCTAGAATAGAGCAAAGCAGGCCCAAGCTTAATAACAGAAAAAAAACTTTATTAAACTACTACTACAAAAGAAAAGAGAAAACTAAAGAAGGGGAAAAGAAAGCCACACAAAGATCAAATGAAAACCTTGCAAAACATTCCTCCCCCCACCACCCAACTCCAACAAACCACAGTGAGACACAACCTGGACCCCAATCAGGTTTCCACCCTCCAAACAATCGATACTCAGTCCTTCGAGGGAACAGAGTCTCTCCTGTGCCACAGACCCCCCCAAGAAAACACAGCTCCACATCCTGTGTTTCCATGTCACACATGGCATTGCCCGGAGAAAAGTTTGCCATGGTGACCCTTCTCCTTTCCATGCACAGTGCTCTCACCAGCAATGCATGGATGGACAGACTGCTTTTAGGATTTTTCCTTTCAAGGATGCCCTGCCAAGAGGGGAGAAAACAACAGTTCAGTTTTCATTGTTTGGGACCACAGTCCCCCCCATTTTCCCCTGGGGCCGAGGGCTCAAGAACAGAGATCCTTTTCTCTTCTCTTTCCTTTCCAGGACAAGGGGGCGCCACCACAAACCCCCTAACCTTTTCTCTGTTCACTCCACTTTTGTCTTTTTCCCAGCTGAAGCAGGTCTCTTGACTCACTGGCATCCTCCCAAAACACAGTCCCTCTTGAAGGAGAAGATTGGTTCAGGTTGTGGCTAACACGGAAAAGTCCAGCCAAAAGCCACTCCTTGTCCCCCTCCCATCTAGAATTCCTCCTTCTAACATCCCAGGGTCCAAGGTGTCCCTCTTCCTCTCTTTCAAACCGAGGAGGGGAAGGAAAAATTCACAAGCTTTCATTTATCAAGGAAGGGTTAAAAGTCCGAGCTCCCAGGGCTGGCTCGATGCCCGGACATCCAGCAACTCCCACACAACTGGGCACCTTGCAGCTCCCCCCGCTCCTCCTTCCTCACGGCTTTCTCTCTCCCTCTCGGGAGAGAAACTCTTGGGGGGGGAATGGAGACATCCCAGATTTCTTCCACCCTTCCATCTGCAGGGGCCAGCCCGGTTCTAGTCCCTCCACCCTTCAGAGTTACCTCCATCAGGCCATGGGGTTTCCCCTTCCCCACCCAGCTCGTGGCTGGGCAGGGGAGGCTGCACTGCGCACTGACCGGAACCAAAGAGAGCGAGTTCCCCTGGGAATTCTGCTTTCAACCCCTCTGTGTTCTCAGAGGCGTGTCCACCTTCAATTGGTCAATATCTAAATTGATCTCTTCCTTCCGGAAAAAAGTTCTCTTTCTGTGTCAAACCATGACAATTATCCAAGTTGTTAGGATGCTAGCCCAGGAGAACAAATGGGATAACATAAGTATGATTACAGCTTATCAAATAGCACAGCATCAAAAGAGAACAGCAGAAAATTTCAGTGCAGCATAGTTTGCACTCATCTGCAAAACCAGTTGTGAAGCCTTCAGGTTGTTTGTCTGCATTGAAACCTTAAAACAAACAAGGTCTAGGACTTCCAGTCATGTGTTCAACTTCCCTTCTGAGCACATCATTTAAGGACCACATTCTCTGCTGTTGTTTGCAAGTTGGGAACAATTTACTTTTTGCTTCCCCCATAATGAACAACTAATTTTCCTGTGAATCAGTGTAGCTAACAAAATGCTGAATACAGACTCCACTGACCCCTTTGGAGGTAGCTTGTTAAATACAGAAAGGAAAATACTCAGTCAACAAAGGTAGAGAAGAAAAGTCCATCTTACTACAGCTGCTTCCTTGCAATTCAGCTTTAAGTAATGGGAAGACACTGGTGTCTTCCATAACAGGAAAAGAGGATGAGGAACACACAGAAAGGCTTCTCAGAGCTGGGGCTGGAGAAGCCTGAGCAGCAGCCATTGCTCCTCATACTCAGTTAATAAAATTCCTCTGCATGTACATTGCCCAGTGCTTAATTTCTTAACATGAGTAATGGTATGTTGAAAGACATGTTTATGCCACAACTCTTGTTAGAAGACACTATGGTCCTGGTAAAATGGGAACCTTGTGCAGGATAAATAACGGGATTTGAGTAGGTAAAGCATCATGTGGCTTGCAAATGAAGAAGCGTAAAGCATTCATAAGGCAGCAAGTAAGAACTTGAAAATAAACAAGGTAATTGTGGCAGATGTAGAGGTACAATGGCTGCCCTGGTGAATGTGCAACAATTTTCCAAATACATGGCTGGTATTAAGAGCATCTTCAAGGTGACAGGTACATTCTTCAGGCCACTGCATAATAGCCAGGAACAACAATTTAGAACTATTTTTACAGTGGGCACACCACCTCAGAAGCTGTAGACTGACTGGGAAAAGATGTTTTAAGTTGTTCTTCAAAAAATGGTTTTAAAGCTGTATAACCTTTAACACTTGTTACTGTTAGTGAAGTAAAAGCCTCCAATCATAGAGCACTTTAACTGAGCACTCTAAACCATACGGTGCACAACACTTTTTGCTACAAAATACATTATCAGGCCATGTAAACACCTACAAATGCACTGTCTGCTAGCCACCTGCTGCTGTGTGTTGACACAGTCAGGGTTAAAATAAAGACTGACCACAACACACTTTGTTTTAGAAAGTAGATTGTAACATAGAATCTGCAGCCCTGTAGGTCTCTGATATTTTAATAAACCCACCAACATGACAGAAGCAAATTGTTATAGGGATCCAGCCTTGTAAATGAACTATATTGGCCAGGCTAGCCATGGTGTACCTGGTATTCCAAGCATTCCTGCTAAGTATGCCACGTGTGTAGGTGGTATGCTCTGCAGCCTGCCATGTATTCTGTGTATGAAGAATACACAGAAGGTATATTCCATATACCATGTGGAATTCCATACACTTCAGCTGGAGAAAGGCCAGACATTTTAAAACGTTTTGAGAATTATAAAGTCATATGTTGCAAGTCTCACTCAAGGTACTGCACAAAATATGTTTGGATGAATTTCCTAGTCTGTGTTGGGGAAGTTGGAAGCAGCAGAAAATCAAGGAGGGCTTGTGGCTTATTTACATTCACAGGAAAACTTTAACAGAAAGAGAGACTTTTCATGCCTTCTGGCATGGGACAACATGTGTCTGTCCTTTAAAAAACTGAGGACAGGAGGCACCAGACAGCAGTCTGGCTGTGAAGAAGAAAAATTACAACCCAGGCCAAATGGTACCAAAGAAATTGAAAGTCTAGAAAAAAAATACCTGTTCTATTACTAGTAAAGGAGACAGATAATTTTAAAAGGGATGAGTTACATTTAAGCCTCCTCAGGAACAGTAGTACAGCAAATCAAAGCTGGATTTCTTTGAAGCATTGAGAAGATGACTCCACTTTCCACCAAGGCAGTCTGCACCTCTAGGCTTCTCCATAGCCAGGACTAGGGAAGATTAGAGAGATCTGAACACATGTAAAAAAATGCAGCAAAATCAGCATTTGTTTGATGTGCTCCTTGGCAACAGGGACCTGCAAGCCAGTTATTATCCATGACCTGCTGTGTGTGAAGAAAGCATAGGTGGCACACAGGGTGCATTTGGGACATGCTGAGTCTTTTCACAGAGCCAACATTAAATACCTGGTTGACCAGGTGGACATGAAAGGATTCAACAAAATAGCCAGGCAGCCATGTCAGCAACCAGGAAAATTTGTTTCTGAGACAGCTGCTTGAGCTTCTTGTTATCATGGTGACAGATAACACGGCTTTTGGCAGTAATTATGCTTCGAACCCTTTCAACTTCAAATGGTAAGATACAAATTTTGTGGTTCTATATGTGGATGATGAGCAAACCCTAGTAAAACCACTGCAGCTTAACTTTAGAAATGGCTGTGGTGTGAGAAAATACCTGCAGTTTAAATAGGATTGGCATCCATAGCCCTGGCTATAACCTGTTTACCTTCAGCTAATCTTCAGATCACTATTGTGCTGGTTCCTATTTCTTGAATAAAAGAGAAAAAATTAGAGCAGAAATATGTTTTGCAAGGACTTTGACCATTACTGTTTATATGATCGTGTACAGCAATATTTGACAACGTGATAGAGACAAACCAGAGGAGATGCAAGTCTTTTGACTAAGTGTGAAGATGGACATCAAAGAACTCTATTTTTTTTTTTTTTTCAACAAATCCCTATGACAGAGAATTCTCTCTAGGCATGCACCCAAGATGGCACATCACTGAGTGCACTAACAGACCACTGCTTCAGAAGGTACAGGTCACTTGTCAGATGGGATATCATGCTCCTAAGCCTGCCCTTACAGAAAAGCAGGATATTGGCCTTGGTCCTTCCTCTCTAGCACCAAATGCCAGTAGCTTTTTTCAGTATGTAAATAAATAGATGCACTGACAGGAAAAAAAAAAAAACAGTTCTTATACTAAAAGCCTCTTATTTCTGTATGTGACAATTGTCTCTGTTCATCCATGGTATAATACTAAGAAGAGTATGGCTCCATCTTCTTCACATTCTCCCATCAGGTGTTTATACACACTTAGTACTCTTAAGGCTAATTTTCTCCTGGCTGAGCAATCCCAACTCTCTCAGCCTCTCCCCATACTGAGTCACTCATATCTTCAGTTAAATCATCCACAAATTTAATTACAAAAATATTTGCAGAGCAGTTGTGGGGTTTTCTTTTTCTTTTCTTTTTTGACTTGCTGTTCTGATACAACAGTTGCCAGCAATTTCAGCTAAACATGAGGCTATCAGGCAGAGGACAAAGCAAACAGTTGGCATTCTCCAGGACTTTGTAAAAAGCAATTTTTTCCACAGCTGCTGTGCCTTGTCAGAATAGCAGTAAAATAATGTTCCTAACAGTGACCAAATGACAAGTGATCCAAAACAGTCAGGAAGGCTGTCAATATTTTTAATTCATTACTACCTTCTTTACATATATTATCTCTGCATCTTCAGAAGGTACTTTGCTCCTATGACACACTTCTTGTTCCTGACAACACAGCACTGTTGCTCTCAAGATCTTTTGGGGTCTGTACACTGTTTGTATTTATGCCATAGTCCAAGATGGGATCCCTCAGCAATCCAAAATTCATGTTTTCTCTTTGTTTCATTTAGAGTGATGCCTCTAACTTTCATACACATCACAGACAGCCTTAGGATTTGAGTGTTGATGCCACAAACTCTACAGTAAAGTGATTGTCTAACAGCAGCTCATTCATCAGGTCACCTTATCAGTCACCAATTTCAGTGTGCTTGGTCCCCTAAACAATTAATGAAAATCTTCAGAGGCTGTGTCATGATAAAATTGGTGCCATTGGAGGACACCTAAGATGTCATAAAGCTCTAAGCATATGTGTGCAGGGGCTAAGCAAGTTACCAAGATGTTAGTGTTGTGTTCTAGGGTCACACCTGTCTTGACACTTTGCCATGCACATCCTCATTAACAAAACCACAAGTGAACACAGTGAAAGTGGGAGAAAAGAGGCAGTCTCCTTGGTTCCATACAGGACAGGGTTGATTTCTGCAGTAGCCAGGAGAGGCTATGGCAAGGACCCAGCTGTTATTCTGTATTACCTCACATCATTTCCTGGGTGGGAGGAAGGGATCTCTTCTGGGTCAGTGCAGGATGGCAGAGAAAATGATCAGGTATTTTTTCATGTGAATCATTCACCTTTTCCTTGTACCCTCTGTCATTCATATTGTGGCTGTTACTGTTAATTTTATTATCTCATGGCTGTTTCCAGTAAATTGTTCTTATATCAACCCATGATCCTCACCTTTTGTGCCTCTAATTCTCCCTTCCAGCCCTCTACAGGGGAGAGGAAAGGAAGGAGGGAAGGCAGCAGCAGCCCATGGTTTAGAATGCTTTCAGTGTGAATCCTAAATTGGAGAATACCATTCCTAAGCAATTCATCTAGTTCTTTCCCCACTGATAGCAATAGTGTTTGCTTTCATCAGCCCAAAAGGCCATCAAGGTATTAGAACTCTCAGAAATAACTTTGGGATGTCCAAAACAGTATTGCTCTGTTGATAAAGTGGTGATGATTAGTAAAATCTAAATAATGTATCTTCTCACCGGTCTGGTCTGCTCCACCATACAGAGAAAAGGCACAGATCCCTCTACCCAGAAGCACACCCAGGGATCAGCAGCAGTGCCAACTCAGCTCTTTTTGAAGGTCACACATTTCCTCCTTGCTAGCTGTGTGACATGCCAAGAATTTTTCAGGG